AGAATTCGTTTTGGCATCGTTGGATAGAGAATTGAAAAGTCGATTCAGTCGTAACAACGTGAGTGAGGAAATTCGAGTAGTTTTGATCCAGAAAGATAAATTTAAATATCAGACACTTCGGTGCAAAATTATGACAAAATTCCATGTTTTCCGTCCCGTTTTTGCTCATTTCTCGGAGGCAAAATGAGCAAGAACGCTCATTTGTACGTCATTCTAGACAGAAATAAATGGCCTTTTTAGCAAGTGAGCCATCGATAAGGACATGTTGATCCGCCCTTGTGTTCAATCAAATGGAGTTACTGAAAGAGTAACAGCCTTCGCCATTTTTTAATACTCCAAGTCCTTTTATATGAAGAAACGCCCAGTTTTGCAGAAAACTTTCGAGTGTGTTAATTAACAAAAGGAAGAAGTTTAAGTCAACAAGCTGACAACAAAGTATGGAAGGTCTCAGGATGCCCAAGTCAATATGGCCAAACGTCCGCAGTTTGACTAAACAAGATTTTGTGTAAACAAGTGATCCAAATTCTCTGATTTTAATTTGGAATTTTTCAGTTCATGGGCCGTGATGATGGCCTAAAAATTTCCGAAACGTTGGTCCAAGAACCATAGGGTTTTGCTTCCATTCCTTCCTAAACGCACATCATTCAACTCAGTGTCTAGAAAATGTAGTCGGTCCAAACTGAGCTTGCTGAGCAAGACGTCAATAGCATCTACTAGCCATGATGCCAGCAAGAAGTTTGTTAAAGTGCTATAAAAAAAACCAGTTTCTGCCTGCTCAAAGTGCATTCAATTCTTGATAGATTCACTACTGGCAAGGTTGAACTCACGTGGCTATGAAATGTTCAATTTCCTGCTGCAAAACTTGCTTCCAAATGATCCAGGCTATGGATTGTCTGAAGACTTCCGAAGAGAACCTCCGCCAGAAGGGCATCAGCAGGTCCGCGTCTGTCTTCTGGGATCGATTCAACGGCCGCTGGACCAGGCGTAGAGCGCCACATTCCAGGCTGGGTGAATATTCGCGTTCGAGAGTCGCGATCAGTTGCCACGCTCTTCTCTGGAAATTCTTGCGGGTCCAGGAATTTTCGTCGCTCGCTCGGTTTACGCACGCCAGGAATCCAGAAGTGATTCCCTGTCGTTAGGGTAAGTCGCTTTTCGAACAGGCCAGTTATTGATAGCGGCGAGAGCTGGATGGTCTGCCTACCATCAAGAGCTGGATATTGATGTTTTACGGCCGTGTGAATTTAATGAGCAAACATGTGCCTGGAACGGGCTGGAGTAATAATTCTATTAGGCGCCCATCAACGCGATGGAGCTTCCAGCTCTTTAAGTACCACTTTTTTTGAATGTTTAACTCAGAAAGTAGTTTTTCCCGGGAAATTTCAAACCATCGTCGGCCTTGCGAAATATTTCGTTCCTAAGATCTTCTTCTAAATTGACTTCTTGTGGCATCAACCTGGAAAATTGTTTCCATTTGTTTGGACAGTGAATATTTTTTTGCAGTCTTTGAAAATTTGTGTAAAAACTCTAATACAAACCCATCAAAAGTCCGCGATAGCTCTTAGGCCAATTCATTCAAACGACTCCGATTCCAACACAATTTTAACTCGGATTTAGGAAAATATCTGGATCGTTTCAGAATTTCGAGTCACGTTTGAGTACACTTTACAATTGCAATAGTTCGAAGCTGTTTTCAGCTGAGTCCGCTTTAAAGCTGCACTTCAAGTCCATTAAAGTTTCGTTTCAGTTCCAGAAGTCCTGCGAAATTTTTATATAGTTCTGCTGTCGAGATCGCGAAGAGTGGAAGAATAATTTGCATATTTTAGCTCTTGGGAAATTAGCTGACAATCCATGGTGCGAACTCGATCAACTACATGCTTAAATAAGTATTTTTCTAATAAAAAAGGTCATCAGGGTTTTGCGGTTTTCGCTTTTAAGCCTGGAGCTAAATTGTATTTAATTTTTTTCCTTTGGAACAGGTTTCGGACAAGAGCGGTAGTTCGGTAAAGTAAATTCCCCTAAAGCCCGAACTTAATCAACTAGATTACGCTCGTTCTCTTTTCCGAAACGGAAATTATTCACGAATGTTGTTATTGAACTGACAATGTTTAGTAGGGTTTTCTATGGAATCAGAATGCGCTTAGGACGTGGTTTCTCTTAGTTGATAACCCGGAAAATACTGGAAATTTGTAGGAAAACTCAGTTAATTACAGCATATTACGCAGAAGAGTCTAGCAGAGCGGAAAAGCGGATACTTTTCCCCTGACTTAGACCTTGTTTTATAGTTTCCAAATGCATAAACTAGTAAACTCTTTGCTATTTAACACACTTACTATTATTTATTTAATATTTCAACTTTTTGTGAATTCAAAGGGTTTTTTAAGTATTTTTAAGCTCAATTTAAACTGTCTTTATCGCATAAAACTAAAATTGTGTTTAGATTTATCGCCAAATTTCATAGAAATGAATTGAACTCGTAAACCCACTTTGGGCTTCCAAAAAACACACATGAAAATTACTGTCTATTTGATAATGTTCTTCTCAGTTCTGTTCAGTTCAGAATGTATGACAGACATTTTTAGTTTAAAATTTTTAAATTCAGAACTGGCCGGTGATGATGGCTGCTCACTCACGTTTAATTGAACATTTCGGATCGATGCGTGAAAGTTTGCAAGCAAATTCCCCGGCTTTTCAAATTCGTGCCCAAACTGACATTGTCCGAGTCCCTGTTTTGTTATCCTTTCATCCTTTCATGCATCTGCAAATACCCATCGCAAGGCTTAAGCCACTTTATCGATAGAATTGGCCCGAAAACCCGCTTCACCACCGAAAAATTGTCCTATTGAAAAAAAAGCCGGAGCAATCGGCAAGTCTAGAGTAAGTAGGTACTTTAAATATCGTTCTCCCAATTTTACCCAAAACAAATCATCAAAATCATTACATTTTCCTGACTGTATTTCGACTTAATCCAAAAGAAATTCCAGGGTTCCAGTCAATTTGATTGTTTATCATTTAAAATGTTACAAATACGTTTCGGTGTTTTTCTCCACCATCATCAGTTTGTCTTCACATTTGGCAAGCCCTTCCCCAAAGGCTTGCCAAATGTGAAGACAAACTGATGATGGTGGAGAAAAACACCGAAACGCATTTGTAACATTTTAAATGATAAACAATCAAGTTGACTGGAACTCAGGAATTTCCCTTGAATTAAGTTATAATTTAACTGGATATGACCCACAATTTGATTTTTGAAAGTTTTTTAAATTTATCCTCATGGTCAAGATGGGCAGGCTAATTTTGACTAAAAGTGCTTCAAATGCTCACTCCGCCCCCAACTGCATCAACCAAAGTATTTCACTCAAAAGAATTATTTTACCTCAATCGCGCCCAGTTTTGTGCCTTGTGGATTATTTAAAACATCTCGATCGAAGGAATATTTATGTTGCGCTGCATTCGGTTGCTTTTTTATTTCCCTCCATTTCCGCTAAATGCGAAATCATTATTTTGAGGATTTTGCTGACGAGATAATGCAGCAAAAGCAGATTGACACGTTCATTTGG